GAGACGGAGCGCCCTCTCCAAGTTTCCCGCGCCTGCGGAGAGCCCGCGGGGCAACCGCGGGAAGTTCCTGCCAAAATCTGGCCATTTGTGCTTCTTGAGCCCGCGCCAACGGCTTCACTGACCCGCGCCCGCGGCTTGCTGGCAATACCTTGGAGACTTCTCCGAGGCCTCTCCAAGGCCTCTCTAAGCCCTCTCTAGCCATATGCTTCTTCCTTGCTTGGTCATTAAGGTCCCAACTTGATTCCTTTGCAAAGGTGATTCTCCAAGTACCTACACAAGCAAACAAAGAAAGGAAATAAAAGGGAAAAAGAGGAAAATAAAAGGAAAACACGAGAAAAACACGAGAACCATAAAGAAAAGAGGAGAAAGAGAAACTAAAGGAAAAAGGACCAAAAATAAGAGAAGAAATCATGAAAAAGGGAAAGAAATAACCCTAAAAGACTACCCTATGAGTGCCATAAATGACACTCATCAAATTCCCCCAATCTAGACTTTTGCTCGTCCCGAGCAAAACAAAGGCTAAAAACGAAAAAGAAGGGCTTATTCGAAGCAAAAAGAAAAAGAGAGATGAGAATATACACTAACTCACTTTCGTAGGAATCTCGATCAATTTTAGAAACTAAAGACAAGCCATTTAAACCCCTAGATCGCCCTAGAGGACGAGTGATGCTCTCGTAAAGGTTTCCTAAGAGATTAACCCATAACTCTCATATTAATACAAACAAGGCAAAGCATAAAGAAGGAAATCAAAAGAAAAGAAGAGCAAACACATGTTCATGAAAAGACTTTTTAAAATGTACAAGCACAAATTAATGCAAATCTTTCTAAATAAGTAAGGGAGTGCACGCTCCAAGATACCTAAGGTTGATTGAAACATAAATATGCTAAGCATAAGAACTAGTTATCACACTCCACTTTCATCCCAAACGGTCTTACCGCGTTCCCCCTACTAATCTCATATCTCTCCTTAGTGAACGTCTCATAGATTCCACGAAGGAATCGGAAAAAGATCAAATTTTTGGCTTACTCGACATCTTGATTTCGCATCCCCTTTCCGTAGGCTATAACCCATGATTCCCTCCACCAATGAATGACTCAACCCCTAGGTCAAAAGGTCTTCCCAAAGGTTGTCACGTAAGGGAAAAAGGGTTAAGGTAGGCTAAATTTAAAATTTGGTGGTTAACCTAAATTGTGAAGCAAAGACTGCGCATTTCTTTACACCATAATCAAGTAATCACCAAACAAAAATACCAACACCCCCAAGCTTATTCAAAGCTAAGATCACAAATATATACAACAAAAAGCGTGAGAACGCTTCCCCCCCAAGCTTAAATGGAGCATTGTCCTCAATGCTAAAAAAAAAAAGAATTCTCACGTAAAATTATTTTTGCATTTTTCACTTTTTTTTTTAATAATTCTTTATTAGTGCTTTGTCCTCGCCTCTTTTAACTGTGGACGGCTTTTTCGAATTTGCACTTGCTTTGTCCTTGCTTTTTTTTACTTTGGACGGCTTTTTCATTTATTCACTTGCCATTATTCACAAAATATACACAACACAAACTTGCTTTCAAGAGAACCAAATATCCAAACTCCTCCACCACAAACTCCAACAATAATGAACAATTGCTTCACAAAAACCAAGAATGGGAACGAAAATGAAACAAAAGGCTCAAGAACTAGAAATGTGGCTTGAAAAGAAGGGAAAAAGGCTAAAAGGGTTAGCAAGTAGGCAAATGTAAACCCAAAAACCGAAGAAAATGAAAACTATCCTAGAAAAGAAAAATTACCACCCCGAAAAGATGCCTTTGTCCTCCCTTGGTGGTTCGGTCTCGGTCTTAGGAATCATATGTTAAGATTCAAGATTAGGTTTGCAAAAGTCAAGGATCCACGCCACTCATGCAAGAAAATGTTGAAAGCTTGAAAAAGTATGAATCTCACATGGTTGTAGCAAAAACTCACTAAGGTTGTCAAATCGAAGATAGGGAGCAACTACCAACATGCCACAAACAAGTAGAATCCGGTTTCACGATCCCCCTATGTGGGAAGTTATATCATGAATTATTTCCCTAGAGCAACTAAAAAATTTATAGAATCAACATTAAGAGGACTTGTTACTAACTTTTTATTTTTATTTAGACATTAATTAACCACCTAAAAATTAGATTATGTTACCTATTAAAGTATAGACGTTACTGTATAAATATCTAACTATGTCCCAAGTGTAATTATTTAACTAGTGATTTTGAAGAGGTTACCAAGAAATCATACATTGTTAATATCTTATTAAAGTGTTCAACTATCTACTTACTAGAGAATGCATCCTTTCAGAATACGTACAACTATCTCGTAAGTGCAGTATACGCTCACATTTGTAGTATTCCAACCAAGTGCACATTTGTTTACTTTATGCTCTAAGGGTATAAGTCGATTCATTGAGAGACTAAATCAATTTTATCTACCGGCGCTAGCATTACCTAAGTTCGTGTGAGAGAAGAGGATGAGTAACGTGCAAAAAACGCTGGTTCATTTCTCCTTCCATTTGAAACTCACAAACAATTCTCGTCCACGCTTCCACGATTTGGTTTTTGTTTCCCACAACACGATTTATTTCCCAAAATGTATCATATGTCAGACAACATGATTAAAAGAAAACCATGTGGAATACAAGTGATATTTCAGATGGCCTTAAAATACGTCCTAGTACCTAAAGCTTTATTCCCTAACAAACGTGCAAACGCTTGAAATTGTGGTCTTGTATTTTGCTTCGGATGCCATGTTTAAATCATAAGCTATCGGGGTAGATTGAAAATGATAAAACCGTACTGATGTGTGTACGACTATAGAGAAAACACTTAAGAACACTTACAATAACCGTATAATAAATCAGTCATTCCACAACTTCATTTTTGGACGAACTTGTTACATTGTCGCTTCATTACAATTTGTTATGTGGTTGGCGGGATTTCAAAGTAGTCGTAATGAACAAATGCTTAAGTATTCCTCTCTGTGTTTTAGACCGCTTTCGCCATTCATAAAATGTTACAAAAAACTCATCACTCTTGAATAAATGTTAGAAGGCTAGGTTGGTAACTAAACTTTCATCGCTTGTTACACTATAATATGCGGAAAATTATCTAATAAAAATAAAATATAAACCAAAACACAAATAAATGTAAGATTCAAGCAGCCAAAAGGCCTTTTAAATAAACTTAAAATGAAGTTTAAATATTAATTGGTAATACAACCTATCTTTTTTGTCGGTGGCCACGTTGTAAGCTCTGTATTGTATCATTAAGTCATTGGCCTCATTTAAGCTATGTGAACAATAATTTTACTGAGTACTACGTAACCAATAAGGATTTGGACCTAAAGGAAATGAACTGCTTGGACTGTATCTACACTGGTCTGACTGCTCCATACTTAAGCTTGGCTGTGAACCATTTGGAAAGATTGGGGGCGAACCAGCAACACTGTTTTCGATCACCCTAGAGGAACTAGGTTGTCCTGCTACTGCATTGTCATTGCAATTACTAGCATGACCCTGACTTGTATTGAGATTGTTGGTTTGAGAATTTAATTGCTGCATTGCTTTCATCGAACCAAATGTGTCTTTTATGAGTTCCTACAAAAAAATTAACCAAATATGTGGTTTGTTTGAAAGTTATCATTATATTAATAAAATAAAATAAATAAGCAAACAAAGCGTAGTATGTATTTTTTTTTTTTTGACACAATGTATGATTTTTTTTTAATAACAGCCAACTCCGTAAACAATAACTTATCGTGAAGAAATGGAAGAGAATAATATATTTATTCTGAGAATAACGACTTTAAAAACCAAGGTATGTTACCAAAATAAAAATAAAAAAGTAAATTTAACGTAACGACTAATTTTCAAGATAATGATTAAATCAAAATATAATAAAATTATGTTTCTTTTTTATCTATAAACTTTGAAAATGAATTAATGATGAAGCTTAAGATTATAAAAACCGGATAAACGTTATCAAAATAATGTATATCTTTCGACAATTTTAAATAACCATTGTATTCGTAAATACTTGTGAGTCATAATGTTTACCTCCTTCCTGGCAATCTCTTCCGGCGTATCCTTTTGCTTTTTCTTCGATCTTACACCTTTCTCTGATGGGTTAGGAGTTCTGGTTTTGGTGCCTCTCCCAGTGTATCTTTTGTCAACGGATCCTTTGTGCCACCTTCAACAAGTATGACGTTCTTTTTAAGGTGGCGTTCATTTTGTTCCTTAGGACGTAACCTACGACACCCATACACTTTGCGAGTAGATTAATCCCACCACGCATTTGCACTATTATCTCTCCGTTCTATACCCATTGAATCCTCCAATGTTATACGAATTTTATCTGTTACTTACTTGTACAATGCGAACATATCTTCATTATGCAGGGCCAACGTAGACAAGTATTTATGCCTGTTGGATAATTCCCTCACTTTAAGGACTCTTTGTGATTCATCTAGCTGGTAGTATGATACCTGAATGTCCTCGTACTGCCTCACAATATCCCAGTAAATTCAAACCATTTACAAGAGCATAAGAAATCTCCTTTTTCTTTGTCAATAGTAAGATTGTAGTACTTCCACCTTTTCCCCCATATTGGGGTGGGAACCTTCTCTTCGGCTTTAAAAAATGATACTGTACCAAGGGTTCTTACTTTTGTGATATTTGTATGCTTTAACCAATGTGCCTCGTCTTTCACCTCTTTAAACTTTCTATTGGTGTACTTGCTGTGAAAAACATACTCAGCAAGTACGGTCTTGTCCACGGGGAGCGGTTGGTCCACAGATGCAAAATTCTTCAACTTCTCCTTATGCGCTAAATCTTTCATGGCTGACTCGTAGAGCTCAATGAATCGAGCCAATAGGGTATCAACGTTTACATAGTCTTTTAAAACACGATTCATACCTTCACTTCTTTGTGTGGAAGCCATTCCAGCCCAATACTTGTCTCAATTATGTGCCGGGATTCACCGTTCTTTAAGCGCATATGTTTCCTTGAGCCAATTGTTGTCACGTAAATCAAATTTCTCCAGCGTACAATCCCACGCTTCATCAAACTCTTCCGGATCTATAAAATCATGTACAACTGTTAACAGTATCACTTCAATCTCTTTCCACTTTTTCAAGCTACCTAAGGGCTTGTTTGGCATCATTTTTGGGTTTTTTCAGTTTTCTGTTTTTTTTTAAAACCAAAAACAGGAAACAAGAAAAAGGTGTTTCCACTTTTCTGTTGTCAGTTTTCAAAATTATCATGATTTTAATAAGTCTATATATTTTTGATTCATTATGTGACATATATAACACACTTTTAAAAAACAAAAAAACCAAAAAACAGAAAACCATAGCGATGCCAAACGAACCCTAAGTTCTTCGTTGCATTTTGTAAGATATGCCACAAGCACAACCTGTGTGGCACCCCCGGGAACACTTTCTCCATTGCCTTCCCGATCACTTTGTCTTGGTCAGTGAGAATGCCTAACGGTGCCTTTCCCATACAAATAAGCCATTGATTTAAAACCCATTCAAAGGTGTCAGCATCCTCATGAGAAATTAAGGCAGATGCGAATACAATTGAAGACCCATGATGGTTGACACCCACAAACGGTGCAAATTGCATTTTGTATCTGCATGGTTTGTCTCCATTAGTTGCAAGACAAACTAACATATATATATATTAATATTCTAAAAAAATGTGTTGCACCACTTACACACATATGACATAATGATAATGTTTTCTAAAATTAATCTAGTTTTTACTGAATTGTAGTCTAATATTTATTTCACGTTAATCCACAATAGCGTTTTCATTTTATGTTAAAGTACATAATCTACTTGTTAAAAAAAAGTACATAATATATAATTACTCTCATTACCCTTTTATATTATATTTACAATTATACTGTAACTGATAATAAAAGTAATCTTAAATACTCAATGTGCTTTTTCGTACTTAGAACACACCATTCACTTAAGTTACTGAATAAATAAGTAATTTTATCATTCTATTGCAAAATAACAGGAATGTATGTGTAGATTGATGTCAATCAAACATAAAACATGCAACACATCATTTATTAAATCCACCTAACTTGTTGCTTTGGAAGGTTGTATCGAATGTTATTATGTCTCCCAAATCTACGCACATAGCCCTACTTCTTGCGTCGGACCAAAACACATTCATTATTAACCTCCCTTCACAATCCCTTTGAATTTCGCTGTAAAAGTTATTATTCAGATTGTGCTGCTTTTTAAAATATTCCTCAAGAGCAATCGCATCCCCAGTAAATCTTGTCTTACGCCGCTCCAAGTTCACAACATTCCTCAAGTCACGTTGATTGAATGTTATATTCTCATATCCACCATTCTCAACTTGTAGTGACCTGTAGTTTTTTGTAATGAATATACCGGCACGATCATTGTTCACAATTTTATCAATGGTTGGATCATCAATGCTTCTGTAATTAACCATATATTGACTTGCACCTGGTTGAAGTTCATGACCATGTTGCAATTTACATCTCGTAATCTGCATTTGCCCGCGTACCATGTTTGCATGAATAAACACTTTACATTTCGTAACAGAGGAACCGGATGTTTGTTTCTTTCCCCCCTTTTTACATGCAAATCTCAGGTTCTTCATCATATAGTAACATGTCTCCTTTTTCCTAACTCCGGTGCGTTTGACTTCTTGTTCCTTGAATGAGTGCATCAATGTAGCACTCTTTGTAAATAAAGAAAAGCCTTTTCTAAACGCAAATTCATGACAAAATTTGGCAAATTCTTCTCCTGAAGAAAACACATTCCCACTGTTGGTTCATTTTTATCTTAATCTTGCATAATCTGATCAGGTTCTTCTTGATCAATGGCAGTGTTCTGTTGATCATCGTTAATATCAATATTCAGATCATGGTTTTCAAGAACCATCAATTCAGTTTCTTCTTGATCAATGACCGGGTTCTCTTGCTCAACGCTAAGATCTATATTCGGATCATGGTCATCTATAACAATCAACTCAAGGTCTTTGTGATCTTGGTTATGATCTATAATGCGATGACTGTTTTGTTGATCATGATCCATTTAACTGTAATTACATGCTTGATTAGTTCAATTAAATTACTTAATATTCAAATGTCTTAAATTATAATTGTGTATTATAATATAAGATAACATATAACTGTGTTTTAGTAATATATTTTTAAACTAAAACCCGATTATATATTATATTGTATGTGTTACTATAGAAATATCAAATAATGCAACATACAAAAAGTATTTCTCAGGGAAAAAAATTAATTATCACGGAGCTGCGAATATATAGATGACAATACCAATAAAAAGGTAGTCGTAACTCATTATTTTATTAAGTCTGTTACTGATAACGTTATACTGATACTAGAATTATATATTACTCCCTCTGTTTTAAAATACTTGCTGCATTTCTTCATGCGCGGAGTTTTAGAAGAAATTGGAAAAAAGTAATAAAATATGGAGGTAGTGGGGTGGTTGAGAAAATAAAAAATTGTAAAAAACAAAAGTAGTGGAAGGATAGGTGGAGAGAGAGTATTATGTTGGGTCCACTAAGTGTGAGAAATAAATTAAATATTGTAAAAGCTTTCCATAAAAGAAAATGGAGTAAGTATTTAAAAACGGCCGAAAAAAGAAAGTGGAACAAGTATTTAAAAACGGAGAGAGTATTTGACTAAGTCTGTTACTGATAACGTTATACTGATACTAGAATTATATATAAATAATACATCAAAAGAAGCCTTATAACTTATAATACCCTAAATGTAATCGGTAATCACCTACCCAGCGACAGGTGTCATCACCCAGTTTCAGCTTGTGAGGTTTGGAAGATTATTATAATTTATTAAAAAATGGAACAACTTATGATTAATTAAAGCAATTTATACTGAAACTAATTAATAAATCACTTTTCTTTCAAAAAAAAATAAAATAAAAATAAATAATAAATAACTTACTTAACTTGATTTTTTATTTTTTATTTTTTTTTTTTTTTTGTAAAAGAACAAACAACTTACACAATTTGTGAAATGTTGAATTTGACACCTCTGCTACTGACTTTAATCTAGGTTGAAATTACTGCTTCAACTTTAACCTCCATGGAAAACCCCTAAACCTTCCTAGTGTACGTCTTTGCCATAGGATTTGTTAATATATCGTTACGAGGAGTTGAAATTTTCTTGCTTCACAAGATGGGAGGCAGAGTTAATTGGGGAGACAATATGACAAATGTCCCCCCTTTAAACAAAAAAATAAATAATTTAATTTAATTTAATTTTTGGTGGTGTGGTGGGGGGGCAAACTTAATACTAGTAAAAGTGGTTTTTTCACCTAGAACCGAACAATAAAAATTACTCAGTTTGTTTTGGTTAAGAATTTGTTTGAGAAATGCTTGTTGGTCTTTAGTTCGAGCATAAGTGAATGTAAATAATCTAAAACTTTTTAATTAGAGGCTTTTTAATGGCCTTTTTTTTTTTCCTTTTACTTTATACAATTTCTTCTAATACTTTTTTTTCTTCTTTCCTTCAAAAATTTTCGGTTTTTTTTTTTGTTTGTACGGAAAAATTTATTGTTATTGATTTTTATTTTATTATTTTTTATTATTAAAAATAAAAAAAAAAAAACTGCAGTAATTACGTGTTCCTAATTTTTTTTTTCAATTGTTTATTAAGATGAAAAGTATATTTATAAAATATACTGTTATAATCAAGATAATATTTTTTAAACACAATATATTTTATTATTTTGAATAGTTTGTATTGTTTTTAATGATCCTCTATTAAGATCGATTATCAAATTGTTTAAAGGATTTCTAGAAGATAATTTACCTCTTTTTCAAAGATGTTATTTACCTATTTCATAATACCTGGTCAAAATAATTACCTACTTGTCAAAATTATCCGTGCTCAAGAATCATAACCTTAACCCGAAGATGATTTCCTCAATAATTTTTTTATATGGAACCCTAAATAAATAATAGTCAAAACCAATACTAGAACCTGTAGACTCTTGACCTGTTACCTATAATTTCAACCAGTGACTTCTAACGATTAACCCTAATTAAAACAAAGTTTCACTTCCTATACGAATACCGTAATACTTTGGTTTATATACTTGTTGATGCCTTCTTAGGTTACCATGAACTTTAATTATTCTTTATTAACAACAACCCTTAGACTCATGTCTCATATTTATAATTACGAAATCACTATGTATACGTTCATAATGAACTAAAATACATACCACAATACATACCTTGTCCTACAACATACCATAATTCGTAATATATATGTCCTACCTTAACCAGATCAGTTAGGTAAAAAGCTAGACTTGTACTACTACTAATCATTCCGGCGAGAATATTTTGGTTTATCACAATACATTTTTCGCGAAATAAAATATAGTCAACTAAGGATCTTCAGCATTAACCAAGTCCCACATCGATCCATGCAGCTCGTTTACTTCATCCGTCAAGATCAATGAGCACACTTGCTGCTTGTAAATCCATTCATTATCTTTGTACCACTGCTTTTAATGTTTACATATTTGAGGGTTATCATGAATTTTGTCAATCAAGGGGCAGCAATATACGTTAATAGTTAGGTACTTACATGCATCCACATGTCAACATCGTCTAATATGATCATCATGAACAGAATACATAGCATCCCTGAATCTTGAGGCTTCATTTCCGTCGGTATGTTGTTAAACGTCATTACTTTCCATGACTCCATTTGAAGTGATTTACTTTTTGTAATGATCAACACAACCTTAACTGTATACCTCAGCTGTTAGTAAGCAAACATATAAAATTAGTCTCCTTTTTGTACTGCAACATTATCTATGCTTTGTTTCTCAGATCGCTTAGAATTAAGGTTAATTTTAGGGTTCAACCACTTGTACACCTTACCACGGAAGGAAGTAAAGTCTTATGATAACTCTCTTGAGAATAATGTTTGGTGTCAAAGACAACGACAAGTTTTTCTTCAGTACGTGCCACGTACAAAGTCCATTTGCCATTGTGCAACACTGGCATGAATATCTGCATTTTTACAAATTAAATAAGTAACTGAATATAATTTAGAGCAAATACACCCCTTCCCCCCAAAATAAATAATAATAATAATAAAAAACGGGCACACAACAACGAAAAAAATATTACCAAAAAAAAATACAACATTTATTCTACCTTTTCATGGTTCTGAAATTGTTCTATAACTGCAGCATCAGTTTGAATGGCTATAACACATTTGTTCACGCTGTCCTCTATATCTTCTTCTCTAGATGGTTTCTCAAAAGCTCACACTGCACATCAAATATAACAAGGTTTATACTTGTAATGGTTCTTTAGATATAATATGATCTTGATATTATGTTACTGATCAACTTATAGCAATGTTGGTACTATGCTACTGATCAACTTATAGTAATGTTACTTAAACATTTCTTCATACCATGTAGGTTGGTGGGAGGATTTAAGCTCTCTGCCCTAACTCAGGATTTGTGTCGTAAAGTTGTTGAACAATTTCACATAGGCCTCCATGACCTCTATTGAAATTAACCCATTGTTGTTGAAAGAGTCATGAAAGATCTCAGGAGTCAAAGTGAGTGTTCGATGCTTAAAAAAAAGTACCTTCTGAACCTGTATATCGGATAGTTAATCATTATATTTACATACCAAATATCCACAACATGAGACTCTAAACCTTGAGGACAACTTACGCTGCTTTTGATTTCTCATCCACTATTTCTTCAACAATTTTTCTGTTCTTGGGAGGAATGATGGGTGGTAAAAGCGTTTCTTCATCACTTTCCTTCATTGTCATATGCTAGTATTAGAAATAGATTCTTTAAAATAAAATGCATGCAACTATGAATATCATAAGGGCTGAATTGAGAATAAATGTTCAAGCTAACCTAAAATTAGTATCTTGTTACAAAACAATAAACAAATTATAACAATACATATATGATTTTAATTTAAAATACCAATGATAATGAAGCAGTACCAGTACCTTATTAATCACGTCTTCATCATCATTATGTACATTTGGTGATTGATCATCAGTTCCGTGCTTGGTCTTCTTCGCCCCTCTCGCTCTAGAACCCTGGTAATATTATTAATTTGCGATCTTTAAGACTCAAAATTGGTTTATTAGCTAACAACAAAATTAAAGTAATAATATACAAATCACCACATCAGTCTCTTCATCCTTAGTATTGTCATTTGACGTAGCTTTCCGAGAGCCTCTTTTTTCTTGAACTAGTCTCCGCATGACGCTTGTCATCCAGCCCATCCTTCGATTTTTTAAGACCCTGTAGACCACAAACCAATTCCTGCCATATACAAGTAGCCATATCAATACTTGGATTAAATATTCCCCCAAATGACCATCAACACAGCCGTACTCATCAATATCTTAATTTACCACTATCGACATCTTGTTTATCTTCAACGTTGATCAAAGGTGGACCCTTATTGAGGGAGCTTCTTCTTGAAGGGTTTGTCTCTGCAGGGGCACTAGGAATGGTATATGCAGGAGCCTTAGGAATGCGATTTGCAGGAGTTATATTGCGGAGGCTTCTTCTTGTAGCAGTTGTCGCTTTTGGAACCCTATGACTTGTCCTAACAGGAGTCTTAGGGTTGGTACTCGCCCCCCTCTTGGTGCCCCGTGCATCACTTAATTGATGTATACACAAAAATGACACCAATGAATTACACTACAGTCATTGTCATTTCATAATAGAAAAAAAACTAAACATCAACCAAGTATAAAAAGCCTTGTCCAAAACATGAGACATACCTTATCAGTTTCAATATTATAATTACTCTATGACATCATTTCTAGAGTATCTCTTGTTTCAATATTATAATTACCCTATGACATCATTTCTAGAGTATCTCTTGTGCGGCAGCTTCTTTTTCTTGAAAAGGTCTCTTCAGGGCACTTTGAACCAGCCCCGGTCTTCGCTGTCTTTACTTTCTTACGATCTAGGGAGTCCGAGTCCTTTAACAGATTTGGAAAGACAATACATTAATATAGTAACCAGAGATGACTAAAATTTCAAGAGGATGCCCCAGTTTCTCATGGTGAGCAACAAATTTTGTTTCTCACATGGCATTTTCGTAAATAAACCAACAACTTTATTCAACGTGGAGCCCACAATAATGAAAAAGTTGTTGATTTATTCACAAAAATGCCCCCATGTTCGTTTCTCACCATGAGAAACAGGGAATTTGCCAAATTTCAATTAATAAAATATATCACCTCATCACTCCCACGAGAACCATCAGCCTTGGATCTCCCTCTCCTCATGACTGCTTTGTCCTCCCTCTTCTTCGCTTGAATTTTTCTGATTCTCTCTACCTTATTTTCGATCAACAAATCGTTATCCGAATCCTGATTTATTGGAAGAATATCGATTTAGCATTTCAGTATAAAGGAGGGAACTAACTGTGAAATAGTTACAATATAATAGGTAACTGTTACAACATAATATTGTAGTTCGATTTAACTAAAATGAGAATTGCAATAGAGCATGAAATTGTAATAACATAAAAAGGATAAGGCCTAATAAGTAAACTAACAAATTAACAAGGATGCTTTTGATACTTACACTACCACTCGCTTTGGAACCTGAACTTGGGGTTCTTAGCCAATTTGGTATTTTGTATGACCGTCCAATTGGATAGTTATCTCCATAAAGAACACCATGGAAAACCTAAACATCAACTTACACATTAGTAAAAGATTAAAACTTTAGTTGTCAATCAACAAATTTGTTAGTCTCAACAATACCACAGTTGCACCGAAGGTTCCATCCGGTCTCTTATCAGCCGCAATTGCTTTGTCAATACAATTTTGTTGCCATGCACCAATCCTTGGCTTATTCTTATCCCACATCAGCCCCTTCCCATTTATGTTCAAACGGTCCAAGTATGCGATCTGCATTGTAGGTATGGTAGATCAGTATAATTTAATACAATCAGATTTTAACATATTTCATAGACAATAGTTAAAACCAATACGTAACAAAAATTTATTACCATAAGCACAATTGGAGATCCCTTAAATCCTTTGTCAGGATCACCTCCTCCATACTTGACCACCCAGTCAAGTACGTATTTGGACTAGTTATAATTTTTCGCTCCATTAATAAACTTGCTTTTTTAACAACCAACAGTGATCTGGGCTAATGTTGTTGTTAGTTGTAATGCATAAAAACGGTTGCAACAACATAAAGAACAAAGTGGTTCAAAAAGTCATCGTTTTCCTCATCTTCATCCAAGCACTTGATGTACACCAGATCGTAGCTAATACCTCCTGAATTTTTGTATTTTTTCTTTAACGCTTTGAACTTCGAGTCATTGCAATCCAGCTCTGGAATGTCATAAGTTAATTCACCGTAAGGAAGTCCGGTGATCCAACCAACCATCTCATCATCTATCTTCAGTTCATAGTTGTCTCGGATACGTAACACTTGTTTATCCGCATCCCAACGACTAAATAAATGCGCCAAGAATTTTTTTTCAAACTGTTTAATTTTCATGTTGAGGAAAGTCTTGAAATTGGTTTTCTCCACAAACTTTTTTCTTTCCCGAACCATTGCCTTCACAATCTTTTGTACCTCTTCAGGGTAAGCCCTAACGACGGGGAACTGTAACACATAAACACAATGAAATAAAAATCAAATTAACAAATATAAATATGATAAAAAAGGAACTAAACAATAATATGATCACAAAGATATTGTACATTCGTTATAACTCTTACGTTTTTAGGTCCCTCCACGTGGGGTCGTCCTCGTTTTCTTTGAGGTTCATCATCCACTTCTACATCTGTAACCTCCTAAGAACATACCAAAACGAACATGAGAGAATTCACCATCATTTCCACATACATAAATCACAAAATGGAAAATTAGCACCCAAAATCCTTTATTTTGAATTAAAAAGAATTCTGACTTTAGCTTTGACAGAGGCCTCTTTCTTTAGCCTTCCAGACTTCCTTGTTGTCATTCTTCCTTTAGAACCTCCTGAGTTAGTCTCATAAACAAACAACAAAACAAAATGTTCAATCTAAACTCCATATGTTCTATACAATTCAGTTGCAAGCCAGTGTTTGAATTTACCATTGGCTGAAAATCATTGTCTGAACCACCAAGCTCTTTGTTGTTCAATGAAAAGGGTTTGTCAGTAGGTCTATCCAAAGTTCCTTCCGATGCAATCGAACACTGAAACACAAATAATGTGGACTGCATTACTCGAAGACATAAAATTCCACTAAGGCCTAATGTTTTATTACCATCAATATGGGTGAGGCCTGAATTATGAGTTCCTAGTCTAAAGCTGTTACCATGTATTATAATAACGTGGTAATTCATCAACATCTTGTGACTAAATAATTATGTATTTATTAGGGTCACCATGCATGTTTTCTTATAAATACCTACCTTTCCCTACTTCGTACCCTAATCTTCTTCTGATGCCTAAGATGCATCTTTTTTCAGATTGACATTACTCACCTCCGGTCCACAAGACATCGTATTAGTGGCCTATATATAAGTTGATAAGATCAGAAAGTCATAACCACATAGTTTCAGAAATTATATGCATACATTTATTTCTTAATTTTTTTTTAATCAGCCTTTCTATTCTTAGTTAATGTTTCAGTGGTAGTAGTCTGGACAGCTTCATCTACCATGTTTGCATCTGCCACCCCACTGACCTCTATTTTATTTTATGTAGCAATCACAGAAGTAGCAGCAACTTCATGTACTTGATTTGACTCTGACTCAGCAACAACCTCTTTCAAACTTGATTTTGCAATTTAAGCATGATCAGCATCTTCAACTACATTATCTGCCTTTGAATCAACCTCTACATGTAACGATTGTAAGATATTGATAGACATTTAAGTTATCAAAAATACAAAATTAAATTTGATTATTACACCTATACATATAAACAATAAGCACCTTAGTAACTTCTTCAGCCACAATGCCTTCCTTGTTTGATTCATATACCTTGTTTGTATTGGACTCACCATCAACCTCTTTTTCAATTGATGATGTTGCAATTTTTGTATTATCATCAACCTCATCAACCTTATATGCCTTTGAGTCAGCAACAACCCCTTTTTCATTTGATGTTTCGCTAATATCATCCGCACCTTCATCTACAGTGGTTGCCTTTGACTCAACTTCAGCCTGTCAGATATCAATAGATGCTTTAGCTACCCAAAATAAAAACACCTAAATGCCAATTCACCTTTAACTAGAAGTAACAATCACCATTTTAGTTTCAAGTTCAGGCTCAGTGCATTCTTTGGGTGCTTCAATTGACTTTGTCAGGGGCTCTCTTCCCTTTTGTTCATTACCATCCTCTTCCCCGTCAACAAGTGCTAATGTCGACACTTTGTTATCGCTCGGATTAACCTGTAACAACGTAATGAATTTAACCACAAAGATCGTATAATGATCACAAACGAGTCAAGTATCCGAACTAGTAACGCCATTATGAACCCCCCCACAGTCATTGTATACACAAATCGTACAAATCCTCCAACTCAATCATACCAAATAAAAATTGTAAACATGTTATACATCATCATGCTAAAAATTTGGCAATTACGAATCCATTACATGAAATTTCATATAGCATATTAGATAATATATTAAATGGTAACACATGTAATTGTAAGTAACAAACAACAAATAACATTTATAATTATATTAGTAACTATACAATTAATAAATAAAATTAATAAATGTTTATGCTATATAATCTGTATATTTATATATACAAAACCTTTTGGGAAGAATCGTCATTGGGCCAATTTGATACTTCCTCCCCACCCTCAATGGCTTCATCATCTTGGGAACTATGAGTGCTCCACTCTCTTGGGGCCTTTGCACTCCTGCAGTATCCTGGGGACCTTGCTCTGTTATTTCCTGTTCCCCCCTGCGAGGGTTCCAGCATTAGAAGGAATAACCGGAGTTGGTTCAAGGTTTTCTTCAACAGGAGACTCATTTAATGAATTGCAATACGCCAATGTATAGTTATGGTAACCAAAGAATTATACTTTAGTTTGTTTATTTCTTAGCGATGATCAAATTAGGTTTTAGATTACTAGTGTTAATATTCTTATATCCATCATTTAAAAAAAAAAAAAACTAAAACTCTAAGAAAACTTCATAATATAGAAAAAGTCTTACTTAATGCAAAATCATTTATTGTACAGATCAATACTACCAGTAAATCGCTAACAACACATATACAAAATATAAAAATAAAAATATTTGAACACGAACTAAACAAAATAGGGGAATTCTAAAACTCTACAAACTAAGAACACTAGTATTATTAGAAAAGTATAATAAATTTAAGGATGACATTTCTAAAAGAAATCAAATTTTTAACATAAATAAACTAATTAAAACCATTATTTGGGTCTAAAATCATCTTACCCTGTCATTGATGACTCCATTGTTCGTTTTGCGGTAATTCTGCGCTTGAAACCGCTACGGAATTGTGTAAAGGAAACGAAATTAACCCAACAATTGTGTAGCGAAGGAAGGAACGGAAATTAACTTAGAAATGGCAAGATTTTCATAACTTTTAATTGTTCTTCGTCTTTCACTCTGTTAAACTTCCAATTTTTTCCCTTTTTTTTTTTACGGAAAGAATTTGTTTTGAGGAAGTTGCCTAAAAGGTTCTTGGAAGACGAAATGGAAAATAAGAATGCCAATTAAAATATTCAACTAACCAAAATTACAACATTTAATAATTCAGAAAAATGTAGTTACCTTAATTCACACCCCTTGTAGCGTGGGATGATGTCACCAAAACAAATAAATAAATAAATGTCTTTTCCGCTTTCTGAATAAAACTGAGCTATTACCATCAATCAAATCAACTCTTGAATGTTCTTATTTATTTTATGTTTTTTATAATTTCTTTTATTTTTTCCTTTATTTTATTGTCTTTGTTTTTCGACTTATATAACCCAAAACTTCTACCCATGTCATAAGTAAATAAACTATAACACAAATAATACAAAATTGGTGAAAATTAAAATTAAAAATTAGCCAAAAAAAATTTGACTAAATGTTTTTGATTTCCTTAGAATAAGAACTTGTTATGTAAATATAGTATCCGTCAATATCTGACTTCGTATTAAAATTAAATTAATTGTCAAATTTTTTTTAACAAATTAATGATGTATAGAGACCTGATTCCTACACAATATATTGTATTAATCTGTCAATATTACGGTTACATAAAGTCAAATTTGTAATACCAAATCTTTAGTGTACATTATTAACTCGGATTAAAACCATACATGATCTATTCCACCATATGACTCTGCTCCTCTAATTTAGCTTAGTTATTTTCATTTTTGTATTTAGAGAGCCACAAGGGTGCTAAGGCGCGACCGCGTGGGTCAAAATCGATTTCAAAATCTCGTAGAATCGGGAGGGAAGGCTAACCTTTTGAGCTATCCTTCACTCTCAATTGTTTAGCTTATTTACACTTAGTTTTATTCGTACATAAAAACGTTTTCAACAACTGAACTCATAACATGCTGTGTCACTAATAAGGAGTGACCAATTATAACGTATTATAATTTTGTTATCATCTCTAATTTAAAAATTGAATGTTAAGTCAATGAGAAATCATAGTTACTTAGAAACGAATATTTACAACAACATTTTAATTAGTACGGACTGAAATACAACTTGTTTTACGGTAACATCTTTACTTATTGTTTTGCAACGTATTAGATAACTAATACTCACTATACATTAAAATTTTGAAATAAGTATCAATAATTGTGTAATATACGCAAAACCTGGAATAAATGAACATGACAATGTTTAGTCACAACGAACTTTCGATATATAAGTGTATCATAAACATAATAATTAAGGGTTTGTTCTGTTCACCTTATTTTCACTTTTTTCAGGTGTAATAAGTTCAGATAATTTCAGATTAGTCTAGATTAAGTTTAATAAGTCATGATAAAGGTTACCTCAGTACAAATTACAACTAAAATAAGTTTTAATAAGGTCTAATAAGTTCAGATAAGTTCAGGTATATTCAAATAAGTTGAGATCAATGAAAATCAGGTGAATAAAACATACCCTAATTAACAAATACAATCATACATATTGTATAATTTAATATTTTGTTGCAAAATTAACGAATTATTTTAGTAACAATAAATAGAACGGTAAGTTAAACTCTATTGAGATTAGTAACATATAATATGTAACTAGTGTTAGGCTCGGGCATTGCTACGTGTGTTACATTGAGTATTTTCATAATCATTATTATCATTAAAGAGCTTGAAAGACTTTTTTTATTGTAAAAAATTATAATATTACAATAACAACAAATAATAGTTTTGAATAATTTTGCTTTTATCTCTAATATGTATTTATATAATGTGCATAGATAGAACAACATAAGCTCATAGATTTGATTGTAATAAGTTGGCCTTCATTCGATGAGGTCTTGTGTTCAAACCTTATTGGATGCATTTTTAGTTAACCATGACATGAAACAAAAAGGTGCTAAAAGTACACGTGGCATATTGAATGATGATGTGGCATTTATGCTGGTGCAAAAATGAGATACACGTGGCACATTGACATTTTTATAAACACTTTTTAATATATAAGTATAGATATAGATTAGTATATGTAACTATATACAACAAATTTATGCAAATTCATAGAGCTATAAATAGGAAAAATTGAAAAGAATAATCCCACCTTTCACCCATCTGCTCAAAATAATCCCACCTTGTCGAATTCCAGAAATAAACCCACCTTGTAACCCCATCTTCCAAAAATGAACCTTTTACCAGTTTGTGAAATTAGTAACCTGTTGTAGAAGGTGACTTGACACTTGTCACCTTCTAATTGGTCCTAATTTAAATAATTAAAAAAAACAAAACAATTAAAAAAAATTAAATCTCTCCCAACCCACGACCACCATTACAACCCCTGCCACCAACCCTTTATCGCCACCATCACAACCCCCTCCCACCACCCCTTTATCACCACCATTACAACACATGCCACCGCCTCTTACCACCATCACAACCTGAAATCCCCACCTAACCCTGAACCCGAAACCCCAACATCCCTGAACCTGAAGCCCCCACCAACCCTGAACCCGAAGCCCCACCTAACTGGGAGGAAATGGAAGTCAGCTGGCCTCTAGATCGATAGCGAAACAACTACCTCCCCACCAACCCACGAAAACCACCTGCACCCCCGATTTAGGCTGATTTGCGGGTTGAGTTGCAAATTCTAGAGTTATTTTTGTTCAAATTGGAGGCTATTTAGGCTGATGCGATGTCGGTTCTCGTGATTGTTGGCGTGAAACACCTATACGGCGTGAAATTGGCGTGAAAGTACTAAACGGCGTCTGAGGACTGAGGTAGTGGGTGTTATACGGCGGAAAGGCATAGGGTTTGTGGCTGTTTGGGAGCTGGTGGCGAACAGATTGGTGGCGCAACGCCGATGGTTGTCGTGGTTGGTTGTTGCGAGGTTAGGGATGGTGGAAGTCAGGTGGTGGTGAAAGGGGGTGGGGATGGGAATAGGTTGGAATTAGGATTTTGGGAGGAGGTCAGGTGGTGGTGTGGAGGTAATTATGGTGGTTGACATGGATGCAGCTATGGAGGGGGTGAGGTGAGAGAAGAGAGATTAGAGATTAGAGAAAAATAAAAAAATAAAAAAATATATAATCTAACCTGTTTTACAGGTTGAAGGTAAAAAGGTTCATTTTGGGAAGATAGGGTTACAAGTTGGGATTATTTCTGGAATTCGATGAGGTGGGATTATTTTGAGCAGATGGGTGAAAGGTGGGATTATTCTTTTCAATTTTTCCCTATAAATATCATGTAATTAGTAGTGCACCATACACACATATATTTATCATGTAAGTAGTAGCAGAGTCTACCCCCACCCACACACACACATGTGTATATATATATATATATATATATTTATCGTGTAAGTATTAGTGCACCACACACACTAGTTTAGTGCCCCGTGCGATGTTTTGGACTCCGGGTTGTTTATTCAACTTTAACATTAATTTTATCTATATGCCAATTTTTTAAATATATCACTGGTACACAAATAGTTAGGAACTGATGTGATTTTGTGATGATTTAAATTATGTAGTAGACATGTAATGACTAATAATAATACTGGTGAAAATATTTTACTTTAAAAATTATATTTATTAAAAAAATAGCAAAGTATGATTGAAATATTAGAAATTTTTAAAAATAAAGTAAAGAAAAAATTTTAAATAAGTTTGTTGGGTTGACCCCAAACCCGAAACTTTGGTCAAGTGTGAACATTTTTTGAGTCGTGACATCAATTCATAACTAATTTTATATCAATGATATATTTTAAAACTTGGTATATGGGAGGAAAAATTAATGTTAAAATTAAATAAACAACCCGGACATCGCATGGGGCTCCAAACTAGTCCATATATACATATAAATATATTGATTTATAAACACTTGTATTACTAGTTGAGTGGATATACCCTACTTAGTTTTTATGGTTTGTTTGTTTTTAAATTAGTAAATATTGGCAATAACAAACTTAATGAATATTTTATTTTGTTATAATTGATAAGGGTTAGTGTTAGAGAGATATCCAAAACTCCTTCACATTATTAATCGCTTTCTTAAAGTCATTCACATAATTATTGATAACCAAATTAAATTTTAATTTGTATTTTTAAATTGAGTGACGAATGAATAATAATTCAATCCCAAAAAATACAAAAAACATCTAAGAAATAATGCTAATATGAATTACACCACCATTCTATCCAGAAATCTTTACATTTAATAGTGTTGCTGTTTTTTTTCCCCCGAGGTGGCCTGTACAACTTCCAAGACAAGATGGGTCTTTTTAGTTCTCTACAGCTTGAGTCAATTCACATGAAAATTAATTTGCTAAAAAAAAATGTCGAACCAAGAGGATGAAGTCGAAGTAGAAGCTTACTACCCACACCATGAGGCTTATGGTAAATGGGATGAGATTTTCGAATTTGAAATTTTCCCTAAATTAGGGGAATCTTTTATCTCATGAAGATTCAAAAACTAAACAAATACTAGAGGGAAAAGGCGGGTATGAGAATCAACAACAACAAGGATGTTGACTGGAGTGCACTAGAGAAGTTATGCTCTAAGCTCGTGCCATATACGGAGTATTAAATAATGAGAATCAACAAGGATGTTGACTGGAGTGCACTAGAGAAGTTATGCTCGTGCCATATACTAGAGGGAAAAGGCGGGTATGAGAATCAACAACAACAAACTACGGAGTATTAAATAATGACATATAAAAAATAAAAGTTATTGTAAACAATATTCCGTAATACGGTTATAAAAAAAAGATTTATTTGTTTTTTATTTTTGGTTTTGAAAAAATAAACAAAAATGAAATTTTGTTAACCTACGCTTTTAGTAAAGCAAGGTCAATTCATCATACAAGTAAATTAAAAAGAAAAACCACTTAGTTCTTTAATTTAAAGCAAAACACTTATTTTTACGGCCTAATGAGTTTATTACTCTACCCCGCTCCCACTAGGCATTTGACTAAGACATTGCACAATGACCGATGTTTAATTTTTTTTATTAAAATATACTCCCTCCGTTCCTTAATATTTGATATCTCTTTCTATCATTTATTACTCACATAATAAAGACAAAGAGACTTTGTAATAAGG